TGGTGGTCTGATGTTTTGATGGTCTGATGTTCCTGTGGTCTGATGTTCTGGTGGTCTGATGTTCTGGTGGTCTGATGTTCCTGTGGTCTGATGTTTTGATGGTCTGATGTTTTGATGGTCTGATGTTTTGGTGGTCTGATGTTTTGATGGTCTGATGTTCCTGTGGTCTGATGTTCCTGTGGTCTGATGTTTTGGTGGTCTGATGTTTTGATGGTCTGATGTTCCTGTGGTCTGATGTTTTGATGGTCTGATGTTCCTGTGGTCTGATTTTCTGACGGTCTGATGTACCAATCGTCTGGTGTGCTGATGTGCTGATGTTTTCATGGTCTGATGGTCTTATGTTCTGATGTTTTCATGGTCTGATGGTCTTATGTTCTGATGTTACGGTGTTCCGATGGTTTGGTGTTCTGATATTCTGATGTTTAGATGATCTGATGTACTGATGTTCTTATGGTCTGATGTTCTGATGTTCAGGTGGACTAGTGTTCTGATGTTCTGATGTTTTGGTAGTCTGGTGGTCTGATGATTTGATGTTTGTGATGGTGTTATGTTCCGATGGTCTGTTGGTCTGATGTTCCTGTGGTTTGATGTTCTGGTGGTCTGATGTTTCTGTGGTTTGATGTTCTGGTGGTCTGATGTTCCTATGGTCTGATGTTCTGTTGGTCTGATTTTCTGACGGTCTGATGTACCAATCGTCTTGTGTGCTGATGTTCTGATGTTTTCATGGTCTGACGGTCTGATGTTCTGATGTTACGGTGTTCCGATGGTTTGGTGTTCTGATATTCTGATGTTTAGATGATCTGATGTACATCTGTACATCAGATCATCAGGCCTTGTGATATGATGGTATAAAGTTTTGATGTTCTGAAGGTCTGATGTTCTGATGTTCTGTTGTTTTGATGGTCTGGTGGTCTGATGATTTGATGTTGTGATGGTGTTATGTTCCGATGGTCCGTTGGTCTGATGTTCTGGTGTTCTGATGTTTTTACATTTTGATGGTCTGATGTTTTATGGCCTCGTGGTATGATGGTATAATGTTTTGATGTTTTGATGGTCTGATATTCCAATGTTCCAATGGTCTGATGGTCTGACATTCTGATGGTCTGAGGTTCTGATGTTCTGGTGGTCTGATTGTTTTCCATCATTAGCTGAACAAAGCTTCTCACAGGTGTTTGTGTGCTTCAGAACCACGGTGACCTGTCAGCTGATAACGTGAGGCAGTGTGTTCTGGAGATGGTGATCGCTGCACCGGACACATTGTCCATCAGCCTCTTTTTCATGCTGCTGCTCCTCAAACAGAATCCTTACGTGGAGCTGCAACTGCTGCAGGAGATCGATACTCTTGTAGGTGAGGAGCTCCTTCTCACCTGTCGGCTGCTCTCTGACCTGTTACCTGTGAGGCATGGTGGAGGACGTTTCATGGTTTGGTTCCTTTCAGGGGACAATCAGCTRCAGAAGGAAGATCTTCAGAAGCTGCAGGTCCTGGAGAGCTTCATCAACGAGTGCCTGCGTTTCCACCCGGTGGTGGACTTCACTATGCGCCGGGCCCTTTCTGATGACATCATCGAGGGCTTCAGGGTTCCAAAGGGCACCAATATCATCCTGAATACGGGCCGGATGCACCGGACCGAGTTTTTCCACAAAGCAGACCAGTTCAGTCTGGAGAACTTCCAAAAAAATGTACGTAAGACCGAGGTCCGTCAAAGTTGGTTTTGTGTCCCCATCCCTCTGTGTCCCTTTCTCTCTTTGTCTCTATCTGTCCCTGTCTGTCTGTCTCTGTCCCTGTCTCTGTCCCTGTCTCTGTCCCATCCCTCTGTGTCTCACCTGTCTCTGTCCCTGTCTCTGTCCTTTTCCCTCTGTGTCCCTGTCTCTCTGATGAACCCATCCCCACACAGTCCAGAAACAGGATCTGGATCTTGAGTCTTTAAAGACCTCACGTGTCTCCTCTGTCCTATCTTCCACACTCAGGCCCCTCGTCGTTACTTCCAGCCGTTCGGTTCGGGACCCCGGGCCTGCGTTGGCAAACACATCGCCATGGTGATGATGAAGTCCATCCTGGTGACGTTGCTCGGTCAGTACTCGGTCTGTCCCCACCCGGGCCTGACCCTGGACTGCCTCCCACAGACCAACAATCTGTCCCAGCAGCCTGTGGAGCCCCAGCAGGGCTCAGAGACCCTCAGCATGAGGTTTTTACCTCGACAGAGGGGGGCKTGGCTCCAGTCCTTCTAAACACGCCCCTTCAGCTGTTTTATAAAACGCTTGTAAAAAGAAAACTTGTAATATTTTGTGTTTCTGTGTAACATTTTATGCCTCAAATCAAATGTAAGATTCTGTTTTCTGATTCATAAATAAATGTAAATTATTCTGTACAAACTGGGGGTTGTTGTTTCTTCTGCTTCTTTATATTTTTAAATTATCACAAATATTCATTTTAAGATCACATATATCAAATTATCATAAATTATCTCATTATTTTTTATTAAATGTTCCAGAAAAAAACCCATCTGGTTTTATTC